TTTTTTAATCAAAAAAAACCCCCCCCCCCCTCCCCAATACAAGCTGGCCTCATCATTTATTTGAAGGAAAGATGATTAGCCTTTATTCACAGTTTTTTCTCTTGACTAGCGGAGGCTACTGCAGTGAAGCCTGTGTTTGTTTCACTGTGCCAGCAAGGAGTAAGTACCAAGTGAGATGCTGTTACGGCCTTTGCTACTGGCTGCTCCCCTGCTCTACTTCTGGACATACTGCCCCGCTACATGAGTGACTTGACTTCCTTCATCCTCCCTCTCTCACCACTCTCCTCCTTGAGATAATTGTCCTTTTGCTGTTCAAGTGCTGTGGTGCTGAGCACAGGAGCTGAGAGCAGGAAGATTCTTCTTGCTGCGCTTCATCTGTGGCCTAACAAGTACCCGTGTGATGGAGGCAGAGTAGCAGAGGTAGCAGCTGCGGGAAGAAAATACAGGAGCTGGAACAGAGGGAGAGAGGAGAGAGAGGAGGTAGTGAAAAGACAGTGATAGAGGCTTAAGCTATTTCATACTGGCACAGAAAATGGATAAAAATCTAACCACTGAAAGAGACTCCTTTTCTAATTGTGAAGTTTGACACAGAATTCCACGTTTCCACTACTGCTCTGCAGCCTAAAAAATAGCTCTGAGCTCCAGGTGTTTCTTGAGTACGGCCTAGGATTGGTCACTGTTGAGGATAAAAGTCTGCTACTGCTAGGAAATGCTCTACTAGCTCAAGTGGCAATATCTGTGACATGGCTCTAGGTTGCCTAATCCTACTGTAATCCTATTGATGGATACCGTAGGGATCAACATGATTCCACATGTTGGAACGGCTGTATTTTTTCTGGTGACTATTCCTTCCCTCCCCAGATATAAAATTATGGGTAACACCCAATGTCAAATGGATTGATAAAGTTTGTGCTTATTCCGAGGGGAAAAGAGTATGTCACGATAATTCAAGCAAAGCTGTAATGCATAGGTGCAAGGAGGCTGAATTAAAGTTGCACGAGCTTTCTGCCTTTTCCTTAAATTAGTCTGATGCAGTATAATTGTCTGAATAGAACTAAAGAGTCAGCTGTGAGTTCCTGTACACCCCAGAAGAAATGCCTATACATCAGTCTTCACAGCACAGTCCTGAAGGCAAAATGCCAGCAATAATTGCATGAAGTACAAAGTAAACTTATTTCATCATAAAAAGAAAATTATAGATTAGCATCTGTACTTGTTTCTCCCTCTGTTTTTCTGCACCCCCTGCACTCTGATGTTTCTGTACTTTTTATCTGTGGGTGTGGTACCTTTCCTACAGCAGGAAAAGTTCTTGAGGGTTTGGTGTCATGTGGCACAACAATACCTTCTCCTCCTGCTTGGCTGGTGTGAATCACAGCTGTACCTTTGCAGTACAGAACTGTAGAATTAGCAGCCCCTCTTGCACACGAGCCCGGCTTAAAGAATCAAAATTTAGTATTGACAGAATAAGCTGAGCACAATCATCATTAAGCATTCAGGTTTGAAATTACACTGTTACTTTACTTGTGAGTTTAAATTTTTGCTCCACTCCCCTCCGACATGAAGAAATCACTTTGCTTTTAGATGACATTTTTTACATGTGGAGATAAGCAGAAGCCAGCAATGTTTCAAACATCATCTGCTGGTAGAGCAGCTGCTATACAACTGCTACCCTAAAACAGGTTAAATGGCAATTGGGAGGTTTTTTATGGGTGTCACATCTAATGCCTCGTCTCTCTCAGTTTTATCTTGTCAGGGCTCAGATGGGAGTTATAATTAAAAGCAGCACAGATATCCAAATAAGAACGTAGGGTATGCATTGGCTGGAAGCTGACAGGGTTTAAGTAATCACCTGCAGTTGAATTGAGACTCGGATGGGAAGTAGGAAGTGCTGCACTCAAGCTTCCTGTATAAATAAATGCAGCTTTCCCACAGCTACTGCATACAAGCTGTGACGTGCTTTTAAGATATAATGGCAGCATGCTCTTAATAGCAGGGAGGGGGTGACTTATCAGAGTGGCAAAGGGGCTGGGAGACAAGTCCTGCTGCAGTCCTAAAAAGTGTACAGCTGTCAGATACCCGGAGAAGAGGAAGGGTGTGCGAGAGCAACCGCTCCTGGTTGCGAGCTTCAGGGGTTTGTGACATCGTGGTTCTTGGGAACGCTGGAGTCTGAGTGCAGCTACTGAAAAGTCACACAGCTGGCAGTGAATGCTACTCTCTTTTCAAGGTATGTTGGAATACAGCTTTCTGCCTATTTTTTTCCTTAAAAGCAAAGGATACCCTGAAAACAAGAGAAAGCCAGCATTTGCTTCTAATGGAAGAAAGTAGAAAAGGCTTAGTTAAAAAAAAAGGTAAGAACTAGAATGATTAAAGAGCTAAAATAGATGTTATTTGTGGTTTGGCTAAAATCAAACTGTGTGGTGCTTAGAGCTGAGGCAAAAAGGAAGTCTTGGAGTCCCGACTATTAAAGGCACAGAAAATAAAATAGACATCAAGTGCTTCCGAAAAGGGTGAAATTACTTTTGTCAGTGTAACTTTTAAAGAAATATCTGTGTGAAGTGTTTGAAAGTGCTGCAGTATTAGGACATATCTGTGTGGAAAGCAGTTGCTAAGATGGCATACTGTCAGTCATATATCTCTTTTAGTTTATATACAAGAACTCCCTTCGTACTGAAAACACACCTGATTAAGCTGGGGGGAGCCTGAATTTAAAATACAGAGATTTCCTCCTGGTTTAAAGGCATTTCTTCTGCCACAGTCTCGTACAGCCGGTATTGTGAAGGAAAAATATGCTGATCTGTATTATAAGTGTTAATGTACACTTCTAATCTGTTCAGGGTTTAGGGTTATGTGGTTTACATAAGCACATACTAAATATACAATACATTTGTTTTCTAGTTTGCATTTTTTAATTTTTTTTTACACTAAGAACAATAAATTGCATTTACTGGTATGTTTGCACTGCTTTCTCTTTCTCAGCATAAGCTTTCTCAGTACAAAGCTGCTTCAGTAATGAAGATGTTTCAGTCTGGCTTATTGTAAAGCTCTTTTTTTTCTGTAATACAAAGGCAGTCTGCTTCCTTACTGTATACGGCAATATCAAATATGCTCCTTCAGAGAGCACTGTAAGTAGTAAAATATTTAGGATGACTATAGTTAAAGAAGCATTGCAGGGTGACTTCCCATCCCCTTGGTAAATAGACACTGGATGCTTTTAAGAAGTAAATTTTAGCAGAGATACAGGCTGTGACTGAAATACCCCCATGCAGCTTTATAACTGACTGCGAGCAGGCACAGCAACATGACATGTTGGGCTACACTCAGCCTGAAGGGCAAGTGGTCTCAGTTAAGGGCAAGCGCTGGGTTTGGGATACCAGCATTTCTGGAAACAGAAGTTTCAAAATCTTGTCCTTAAATATTTTCCAAAACAAATATATTGACCCAATTCTTGTCCTGTTTAGGACTTGTCTATGCCTGAATGTGAGTGGGTGTATGGGTTGTTGTCATAGCATGAAAGTGGCTGAAATCCTTCCCTCAGTGAACGTAAGCTACGTTGGAAAAAATACAGAACACTGAAAAGGGCATGGCTGCAGTTATGCTCCCCAAAGTAATGCTTTAGATTATGGATTGAGAGGAGTGTGTTTGCAGAGTGTCTAAAGCTGTGGTAAAGTGGGAGGTATTCCTTCAAAATAAACTGGAGCTATTCTGGACCCATGCCAGCATGATGGGAATCAGACTCCTTTTCTCCCATGCGTCTTGCTGTCCGATGGGGGTATTTGACACGAAGTGCTGTCTGCTCATACAAGGACGCAGAAACCTCCCTACACTGCATGTAGGAATAGCATTTGGCAACCTGGTATAATTTCTGTTCCCTGTGCTGAGCTATATCCTGTGTGTTCCTCACTGATAGTCACGGTCTTCTTTCCCACAGATGGTGACATTTTGGTGATTTTGTTTGTGTGGTGGTATACTTTGGAGCAAAAGTTAATAATATAAATAGCAAACAGTATGGAGTTGTTTCTCTCTAGCTAGCTTCATGGATTACACTATATTCTCTAAATGTTTCATAAGCTTTGCAGGAATAAATAAACAGTGTGGAAGTGGTTATCTGGCCTTTCCCTTCTGTTGGAGGAGGAAAGTATGTACTTGCCCATGTTATCATCTTAAGTTTAAAATGCAACTGCGAAAAGCAGCAAGTCACTTTACAGGAAAACAAGCTGCTCTAATGCTTAACCCGGTTCCAAGTTCATTAGTATTCCTCTGATGATATCTGTGGTATAAGTCTGAGCCCTGTGCCTGCAATCCACCCTGTCCAGACCTTTCAGTGACTTTTGGTGGTGAGGCCCAGTGGAGTGTATTGCTTTGATGTGTAGCTCAAAAAAACGCTGTAGACTTGCTGTCCCTCTTCTTGAGTGGGGAGTTTTCTTGAATGTGTCTAAAACTACACAATGCCTATAGAGTGTACGTATCAGATCCATAAATATCTCCTGGGCTAGTAGTACTGTGACATCTGAGACCATAATTACAGCTCCGGGCCCATGGATGTCACAAGCACACGTGAACAAAATACTGGGGCAGGCTGCCAGTGTCACTGTGAACTGAGTCCATCGGACCTCCTTGCTTGTACCAAAGCAGACATTGCCTTCAGCTTCATGAGGCTGAAAACGATTCTGGATCTGTCCTCTTTCTCTGCATATTTGTCGGGAGGTGGGTACGGTTCCCTCCTCTCCCTCTGGCTTCCCCATGCCAAAGCCCAGTCCTGTGTAATGCACTTCAGAAATTCTCTTCATTACCCAACGGCCAGGAATAACCCTACATTCATTCCATCTCAAAATTAATCTTCTTTTTGCTTGTGAAGGGGAACATTGAACAAACTGAAAAAGAACAGATCCAAAGGGAAAGACAACAATGATACTAAGCTCAGCCTCTAGCATTTTGTGTTTCTGCTGAAGCACAGCTGAGCTCCAGCGCTAGCCTATGAGCCTTCTCACTTGATAGAGAGAAGTACAGGTCTGAGGGCCATCGTACACTGCAAATTTACCCAGTCTTGGACAAATATTTACAGAGATGCTTGTGCCAAATAACTTTGTGCTGATCAGTAAGAAAATAGTGTTCAGCAGTCTTTGTGTCTCTTGTAAATGGTTTCAGCTCAGTGGGAACTGAGTGGGCATTACATTCATAAAGTAGATCATTGCTAGCAGATACTAAAACACTCATAAAAAAAAAAAAAGATAGTATCTCAAATTACAAAGGACCTCATCCTTC